ACCACACCGAACGCTGCCCAGTGTCAGAGGTACAACTGATACATATTACCGAACATGCTGGTATAGAAATAATGCTCTGCACTTGTGTTCGGGAGATGCCCCATTCGAATCTCGGCTGGAACACGGGCTGCCTTCCTCAGTCCTTCCAGGCAAATGTAGGTTAGTATATCCATCAGTCCGTGACCGCTTCCTCCTAAACTCATTCCTGTTATTTATTCATCTATCATCATATCATCACACGCTATACAGAATGTCCCAAGGGGAAAGGTCAATATTCTGGGAGGTCACAGTACCGGTCATTCTAAGCAAAATTTGTATACGTACATGTGTCCCATTCCGAACGGTTTCCGAGATAGCGCTATTTCACTGTACAGTTCCAAAACTGTTGAAAAGAAAGATATTACGTACTGTTTCTAATATAAGCATTTATTTTTCAAATGACAAATTTGGTACAATTTACTTAATATAATACATTTTCGAAAATTACGTCGCTAACATCAATGCACTTTGCAACTAGCGTAAGAACATGGCGTGTTGCTCGTCTGTACAGTGTACAGTGTACTGAACAGTGAAATAGCTCTATCTCGGAAACCGCTCGGAGTAGGACACATGAACATATACACTTTTTTGCTTAGAATGACCGATACTATGACCTCTCAAGATATTGAGCTTTCCTCCTGGGACACTCTGTATAGTCCCGACACTGAGAAGCGTCGTTAAATAACCCACAAAGAGAAAAAACTTATACATTAAATTTCTGGAGTTGACTCATATTTTTTTCAGGAGAATGTCTGCCAATTAACTGAGCGATTATTATTATTATTATTATGACTTATTCTGTTATTATTACCGAACCCGATATTATTTAATATTAGGCCAGTATGCTAATAGTGTTCCGAAATTCCACTCCAGCCACTGCCACTAACATCGCACTAACAAACGATAACAATTAATCGGTATAATGAAACAGATCCACTGAAGGAGGGAGTAAAGGCAATCCTAGAAACGACGTATGCATCACATACGCCCGACAAAACAAAATGTCTAACTTACTATCCATATTGAAGCCTGGTCTATTGCAATGCTTTACACCGGAAGAGGGCAATTTCAAACAAATTTGCTACCAGGAAGTACCATCAGCTTTGCATTGGTTCATCTTAACATCTCGGTGAGTTTAACTTGTAAATATTCGCTTTATGTCTCCCATTTGTACACAACGGAAAACAGAGTCTACGTCACCAATATGACTTTAAAAAGTTTCATTCCTAAACTGAACTAAATAGAATATAATTTACATGATCTGAGGTTCTCACAGCGGTGGTTATGAAGAATTTTGGCTTCTGGGATATAGCGCTGTGTAGTCCCATTAAAGTCAACCGACATTTCAGAGGAAAATATCGCCTTCACCTTCTAGGTCAAAGGTGAAGACAAGTATGAAGCAGGTAACAAGACATTTCTGAAGAATGAGGCTATACGTTCATCCGAAAAGACGGTTGGCTTCCAACGAACTATACGGCGTTATATCCCAGAAGATAGAAGTCTTCAAGCAGAATAGAGTTCAAAAACATTCGTTCATGGACACCGTTTTAACCGCGCGGCTACTCAGATTATACATCAAAATGTAAATTGTGCCTCTTCTTAATTAGTTAAGCACTGTGCTATGAAGACACGAGAAACAGAGGTAGAGCTTCACTTTTCTTGACCTCGGCGCTAGATGGAAGTGAATGGTCAGCTTCACGTCCCTGTCGCTTTACCTCGGCGAAAGAGCTCCCGGTACTCATTGCAAAGGAGGCTGGGTGGGCACCAGAGTCAGTCTGGACGCTATGAGGAAGAGAAAATCATGATCTGCACGGAATCTAACCCCGGCCGCCTAGGTCGTAGCCCATCGCTATAACCACTGAGCTATCCTGGCTCTTGTATATATGATGGGTAGGCCTTCTTGGCCTTTGCACCGCGACCTCAGTGGCCTATTGTGCTATTTACTTACTTACTCATGGACCTGAGCCCTTCTGGAGGAGAACCCAATTCTGCAGCTACTCAAGAATTTCCCAGCATTTTATGGAAACCGAAGGTTTATTACCGTGTTCACAAGAGCCCTCAACTGGTCCCTATCCTGAGCGAGATCAATCCAATCCATACCATCCCATCCTATCTCTCTAAGATCCATTTTAATATTGTCCACCTACCTACGCCTTGGTACTCTTAGATTATATATACAAAAACAAAACAAACAAATTCCGTGACCTGTAGACCGCGAACTATACCGACCGAGCGACCGCCGCTTGTCGGCGAAGTTAGTTCCAACTTTTTTGGGTACAGGATGTCACGTGGTCAGCGCAACGGATCACCACGGCCCTTAATCTCGGTTTTCTAGACCGGAGCCGCTATTTCCTTGAAATATCTTCTCAAATATACTCAAGAGGCTGAGTGGACCCCGTTCCAGACCCACTACTTCTCAGAAAATCTGGTAGCGCCGGGAATCGAACCCGGGACCTCTGAATCTGTAGCCAGGAACTCTGGCCACGAGACCACAGAGGCGGTCATATATATATATATATATATATACATGTAACATATTATATTATATTCATTCACCAACCACGAACACCACACCCATTAAAGAAGAAACAACGGCAAACTAAGTACATCGAAAATCTGTACTGCACAACTGTCGCTGAACCTCCAAACTGCAGTTTTTTTCCACGGCCAAGAATTCACATCAGACAAAGAGACACCGATAGCAGAAGTTCATCGGAACCCCACGTATGTCAGGTGTACTTCAGTGACCATTCTCCAAAGAGGAAAACTTCTGCTAATTATACACTTCAAATTTAAACATGTTGTAATTAATTTTAAACTGAAATATTTTAATAAGATCTAAAAGTTTGTGGCGATGGTACATTAATATAAATATTATGATTCTGGACATTATCCATCATCCTGTTTTTATTTAAAACACAACGTTTCCGAGACTGGATTCTGTCTCCGTCTTCCGGTGGAACCTAATCAGTTGGGCCCAATCGATAGAGCTAGTTCGTGTCTCCGGGAGACAGGGACTACCTTTACCGATATTTTAACCTCAAACTTTTAATTAATTTTAATTAGTGCTACACTCTATAATAGGAAAATACAGTGAATAGACTTATGGCATACAATACACACGAAGATGGTCATTTGTGCCAAAACATGTATTTATAATAAAAACAAACGAATGAAATATGACAGTGTGACAATAATCACACGGGTATTAAATATTTACGAAAGGTGCATTAATAAGACGGACATAAACACATAAATATGTATGTTTATACATACGAGTAACACACGACCGACGTTTTCTCAATCCTACCATACAAAACGGCTTAAAGTGTGTCTGAACAATAGGCCTTGATCCTCAGACAGGCCATGAAGGATAATGATATCGAAGAGAAAACTCCTCTGGCAAAACAAGCAATACTTGTCGAAATTCTTGGCAGTGTTGAAAATTAGATTTTTTATGATTCTTTAGGACACTGACAGATGTAAACTAATACAAGAATTATTTCCAATTTACATGTTGGAAATAGAAACACATATTTTGATTTTAAATTTTGATTCTTAATATAAGTGGCGGAGTGGAGGGATTTGTTAAAGATAGAAGGGTCGAGGTAGTAACAGGAGTCCAAAAGGGCACTCAGTGTACGCTAGTCCCTGCTTTGAGGCTAATAGTCTATTAGTTAGATCATAAATTCTGTAATTTTTATGGAACGCGAAGTTAAGGTATTATCTTCACAACTATCCGTCCCTGAACCCAGATCCTAAACCAAATGAATGAATTCCGTATCTTCACATCCAATTTCTCAAACTTCATTTAAACTATTATTTTCCCATCAACGCTTAGGTCTTCGAAGTGGTCTCTTTCCATCAGGTTATCCACAGCCTCCTGTTGCTTCCCCAATTTTCATTCCGAATACTCTACTTAAAACTCCGTTCTCAAACAAGAAACCAGCGTGAAATGGGCAGTGGAAGCCCCTACTTGGTATCTGCTCCACGCTAGTTTCTTGCTTGGCTTATCCTTCGACCCTGAAGATAGAGGCATTTTCCTCCGAAACGTCAGATGACTTAGAGGTTTTCGTAATAACCGCTGTCAGCACCTTAAATCCTACAAGAATTTATGTTCGAGTTGACGCTCTCACAACTGGGACAAAGAAGAGTACGATATTTTTGGTAGTAACGCCGTACACTTCGATAGAAATCCACAGATGTTTCCGAGGAAAAATAGCAAGCAGAACCAGCAAGAGGCAGACGAAAATCAAAATATTATGTTTGTTGGAAATGTATGAAGTGTGGAAAACTGCTTGCCGCCTGAGTGTTGTTCGCCTCTTGCTTTACATAGCTTTCACCCTGAAGATGTAAGCAATATGTGTATCCGAAACATCGATATCTATCGAACTTTACTGCTTTATAGACCAGAAGCTCGTATTTTTAAAACTGTGTTCGATGTGAAGCAAGCTGCTCTCCTCACTGAAAATGGTGTAATAAAACGATTTATCAGGTTGAGCGTCAGTTACGTAATATATAGACAAGAACGACGTTGTCCTCGGTGCTGTATAGCGTCACGTAATGAGTCAAAGGCATGTTATGACCATCTATAATGTAATTTTCACTGCTACTGAATGAATACCACGTCACCAAGAGGCGTGAGTAGTAGCGGAAACTGATGTGAACATGAAATTATTGCCATGTTTTGTAGCCCGCTGATTTTCTCGCTTACTGGGTGATAGATCTTTCCGGCTGAGCGGAGAATCTCTCCATGGCAACAAAGAGAAGAAGGGGAAGAGATGGAGAGGGAGTTCAGTGAGAGAAAAAGAATAAAAAGATCTTCTCGACAAATAAGGAGAAAACTTGCATATGGCGGAGTAGTCATCGAAAACTGTAATATAAATAGAGGAGGCACATAGATCGGAAGACAGTTCGGGACTAGGTGTCATTACAACACTGTTTGGAAGGGTAGTGCTACAATGGTGACGTCACTGTGGCGCCCTTGGCGCCTAGCCTTTCTCCTTATCGGAGCTGTGTATTTCCTTCAATCAGTGTGCACAGCCAGGGAAATCCGTTCCCTGGATCTTCTTTCCGGGTCACTGGAAGAAACGGAACTACAAGGAGAGAACTCTGCTTTGATACCGGTGAAGGAGGTTGCCGAGGAAGTCGAGGATCTAGAAACTGCGGCATCACACCATCATGACCACCACCATGAGAAGGGAGGTGGCCACGAACACCACGCTCACCACCACCACCACCACGGCCACAAAGGAGACAAGGGCCACAAACATCATCATCACCACGAAAAGGGTCACCACGGTAAACACGGCAAGGAACATCACAGTGGACACTACCACGACCACGGTGGCCACAAAAAGAAACATCATGACGAGGCTGGCCACTATGGCGAACACCATAAGGGAGAGCATGGTCATAAGGGGGCGAAATACGGGGAGAAGGGTGGCCACAAGAAGGGACACAAGACGCATGGCTACCACCACAAGTCTCACAAAGATGAATTTCACAAGGAACATAAATTCTACGACGACTACCACAAGGGAGGCCACCACCACAAACATGGCGACTTCCACGCTCATCATGATAAGAAGGAAGGTGGCCACAAGAAGGGTGGACATCACCATTCTGGTCACCATCATGATCATTACGGAAAGAAGGGTCACCACGACAAGGGTCATTACGAAGATGAACATAAGGGCCACAAGGGTCACCACGGTCACGAAGAACATCACGGACACCATGAGGACTACGGCAAGAAGGGTGGTCACCATGATGGAAAGCACTGGGGCTACCACCATGGACACGGACATCACTAAACAGTCAGTGACATTCCAACTGCATTCATATACAGCATATGTTTTTGCAACTCACTTCCAAGTTTCAGGTTTAGAAGACATATCAGTTAGAGTGGTCACTGAGTACGTAACGATCCTAGCTACCTGTATTTACTTCTTCTTTGGATCAAGGAAGGAGTGTAATTTTGGCCACGGTTTATGTTTATTTATTTCAAGTGTTGTCAGCATCAACAAACAAGTCATTACTAATAAGTGGTGAAAATCGGCAATTACTGGTTACAAAATTTATGTTACACTCACGAAAAATAAAATTTAAATTATTCAGAAAAAGAACTGACGTCCACGAAGAAGAATTCAACCTAGCTCCGTTTTGTTGTTATGTTGACTGTTAACTCTTACACTAGTTATTTTTGTTGTTGAATGTAATAACAACCAAAGAAAATACACATGTTTATTGAAAAAATCTTATTCCTTTTCAAATCTACACAAAATATTTTGTGACATCCTTTGAAAAAAAAATATTGTTTATTGAAACCCTAATTTATAAATCTCCTTCCAGAAAAACGGAACCACTTGAATTTGAATGATTAGAAACATATATACTAATAATTATAAAAATCATCAAAATGCGCTTCTATTAAGTGGACTGTAAATGACTAAATTATTACCTGTGATATATGTGACGCTTGGGAAAAAATCACTTGGAAGATATAGGCGTAGATGGGGAAATAATATTATCACGAGGAAATAGAGCGACTGGGTGTGGATTACATTTATTTGGTTCAGCACAGCCACCAGTGTCTGAGTCTTGTTACTAGGGCACTACATTTCTCAAGATAAATTCTGCTCCAAGAATATAGTTACTAACAAAGTTACTAACAGTGGAAATGTTTACCACTGAAGATTTGGGCGATGTGGATTAAAAGATGAATATTAATTTTATTTGTCGCTTATTTAACAATGCTGTCAGTAGCTGAAACTAGATCTATATACCACTGGACAGTTGTATGATCTGTGAATAATGAAATGAAAAGGATGTGGAAAGAAACGGGGGGACCATAATTTTAGGTACACTCCCAGCATTTCTCTGGAAGAATGGAGAAAAACTACGAACCCACTCCCCCCCCCGGAAGAATAGCCATTCTCCGGCTCAAGATTCAAGTCCAGAACCGCCTGAATACAAGAGAATTGTGCAATGCATTCACGCGAGAATTCTCTTTGCTATCCACTTAACTGTGAAGCGAATCTAGTTCCTCTATAAAGAAGAACGTGTCTGTTACTTTTTCTCAAGATATTTACACTCCGCTGCACCTGTGTTGGTCGAATTTGTAATTATGGTACTCGACCTACTTGGAGAGGTTTCAGATACTTGAACATCCCCCTCAAATTTTGGAAAACCCCAAATATTTTTTTTTTTTTTACTTTTTGATCAAAAACCAGTCTACGTAACGTTTGATAGAACTTTGAAAAAAAGCCTTTTCTTGCTCCACAGCTGTTCATCATTATTTACGAAATACTTAACTATCAATTACCCCCNTCCCCCCCCCCCCCAAAAAAAAAAACGGCAGATTTTTTTCAACCATTCCTCCGAGCTTATTGAAGTTATGCGTTGATAAAGTTTACAGAGACTGAGAAATATAATCCTGTTATTTTTAATTTCTACCTCTTATCGTATGATATTTAATTTTCAGCATTTTCAAAATAAAGTGTTTTTACATAACTCACAAATTGGGGAGAATGAACTTTGTAACTACTTATTTTTTTTTACAATTCTCTTACCTCACTAATATAAAAAAGACAAATATTACAAATTTTCAATATACTTATTACTTATACTCGTGAAATTCCGGGTAGATCAGTTATTAAATGAGAAACATGACAGAAGCGCATATGCGGTCCAAAGAAACGCTGCACAGACTGTGACCTAAGTTCATTCTTGCATAAACCAGATATCGCAGCCAGCCTATGAAGTGGCTTTCTCCGCCATAATAAATGTTGCGGGTAATTTTGTTATAATGTATTTTATTTTCCCATGATACTCTATTTTAAATGACAGATTAAGACACAGATGTTATGGAATCGATTCCAAACGGGGGTTTAACGTGTCTAACCAACATTTATCCACGGTGGCCGCGCGGTCGAAGGCATGAACTGTCTTCGCCAGCTTGAACTCTGGGATCGTGGGTTCGAATCCCACTCAAGGCATGAATGTCTGTGTGGGTTTATTCTATGTTTGTAGTAGGTAGCAGCCTTGCGATTTTACTGAGCCTCTGTTCAAGGAGTTCTACCGACTGTCTTAGATTAAGAGATTGAAGTGAAACGAAGGTTTTCACGAATGCCCTATCCTCCAAATGGAAGCAACAGAAGAAGAAGAAGATGAAGAAGAAGAAGAAGAACCAACATAATATTAGGCTGGGTTAGAGGCCCATTATCCTGTTTGCATCAAGACTGCTAACTGGTTGTATCACTGATCCTAAATGCAAATGCACAGCTCATGAAATTATTACTTTGACAGCATTATCTAGATAGATAAGTATTTACTATCTAATTAATTAAATGTTCCTACTCTGGATAAGGCAGAAATTTTTGTCTACTCTGTAGTGTTCAATGAAGCTCTGGGGACAAACCAGCCTCCTACATAACAGATACAAGGCACTCATTGCCCTGGGGCAGAACGGTCGGAGTGTGAATCTGGCCCAGCATATCTATCTAGCACAGAGTCTAAGACTCCGGAGAATTACACCTCTATTCCCAAATACTTCATTAAGCATATGAATGACTTTACCTTTTTCTGACTAAAGTCATGAGGAACAGCCCTTGAAAAGCTAATAGTAGCTCAGCTAGTAAAGAAATTGATCTTGTATAATGAAACTGAAGTTTCATTAACCAGCCACTGGTCTGTCAATTTAACAGCTACAGAAATTGTTGGTGTATTTAAATAATCATTTTATTTGCAATTGCTTGGGGGAATATTTTTATTCGGGCAAGTAATATGCTCTATATTGCAACGAAGCTTTGAAAACTAATTATTATTTATCATGTATGGTTCAAATGCTACGGTTGCAAGCAGGATTATAGAAGGCTACTATGCATAAGGTAAACCAGCAACAGTGAAAACTGTAAACTGCTGAAGAACCGACTGAAAAATACAAGCGTTAATAACTTACCAGGCTGCAGACTGAGGAAATGTCAGCTTCATCCATGCTGTGGAAACAGTAAAAATCATCAGCTAGGAAAGCTGCTCTCGTTATGTTTAGCACCGTGAGAACCTCAAATCCAACACCAAACCTGTTCCCTTTATCGTATAGTCCCACAGGCTTTGCAACACAAAAATAAACAAAGAAGCAGTGGTTTCAAATAACACCTGACACCTGAATCCAGTATTGCTTCACAGTTGCCCGATAACAGTGCAAGTTCCTGCGTAATCTTCATTGAGAAACTTCGTAATCTAACCTTCATAACAGAAATGGCAGGAAATGAATGCCTACCTATCTTAAAGGCATTTCAATTGCTGTTTCACTATAATACATTTTAGTAAGTTTCAAATACTCTGTTTGATCACATTATATAATATTTCACCTATTAAGCAACACAAACACACACAAAGTACTATAAGCTTATCAACGAAACCCGACCGCGCACATTTCTACGAAAACCCGGCGAAACTGTAAGCAAGTGGTTACTGGAAGTGTCATCCACCGCCTTACATATTGACCTTGACGTCTTCTCTCTGAACTGCCTGTCAAGCACGGTCGATTTCGTCCCATACGTAAGCAACTCATTGGTTTGTTTTCGGACGCTGATAGTAGCTCAGACTACATAGCATCGAATGACACGATGATTACTGAATACTTAATAGATACGTGAAAGAGGGCAGTTGTAATGTGATTTGAGGTATTTGCTTGAAGCGACAGGAAAACAAAAATCCTGAATCAGTATAGCTGGTCTTCTGGCCGAGATTTCAACCCAAGACCTCCCAAATACAAAGCCGGAGTGCTAATCAATCAACCACGACGTTAGTTTACAAGCCAAAGGCGTAGAAATATTGTGATAAAACAGGGTGTACCGGTGCAGAGCTACATATTGTCTAGATTTTTCAATGGCATACGAGATTCTTACTGGTGGTGCATGTGAAGAGTGCTGTGTTTTAGCCATTACATTGTTTAGTTTTATAGATATAAGTCAACGTTTCGGAGGAACCTGCTGTTTCCATCTTCAGGTGAATTTATACAGGACACAGCTTCATAGGATAACATTTTTGAAGTCTGATCATCATAATTTTATATTATTATTATAAAATAGTATTTTTAAATAACGATTCTTGATTAGTCTTTTATTTAGCCTAAACTTTAAAATTTAACTAAAAAGTGTAAAATTACATTGGATTAGAGGTTAATATGAAGAATGCCATCTTCTGAATCTGAAGCTGTATACTCTAGAAGAGTTTACCAACGTACTTCCTCCACGGCGCAATACCCCACAAGTAGCATTTTTAATGGTAAAATTATCTTGAAAGTTACTGCGGAAAAGGCCGCGCCATAGCTCAAGCGGTTAGTCGCTGGCTTCCCACTGCGGCGGCCCGGGTTCGATCCCGGGGTCTGGTCAAGTGGGATTTGTGGTGGACAAAGTGGCGCTGGGGTGGGGTTCTCAGAGTACTTCGGTTTCCCCTGCCCATCTTCATTCCACCAAATTCTCCATCATCATAATCACCCGGGGAAGGCTACAATAGGCTAATCAGTGGCCGCCGTGCTGAGTGGACCCAGTTGGACTCCCCCCCCCCCACTAAGCGAATTATTGGGGAGAAAAGACAGAGGAAGGCAGCGTAATGAGCTAAATTAATTGTTTCCCTATGCGATCCAATTAATTATGGTGATTAATACGATACGCAAAAAAGTCATAAAATTTAAATAGGAATCTATGAATTTTCGTATCATCATCATCAAAATTACTGTTGTCTGTACAGAAAAAAATATGGAAATAAACTCAATAAGCCCCCTGCTGAATGCAGCCATTGCACTGAT